TCATTTTAGTTGCCCTCCCCTCTCCCAGCCTCTCTCTTCCCCTCTCCCACCTCCTTTTCCCAGTCTCCCCCTGTTTTGTTCAATAAAGACAGATTCAATTTTGGAAGACATGTTATCTTTATTTTGTACATCAAGAAGAGGGGCTAGGGAAGGGTAAGTGGAAGGAGGTGAGGGAGGAATGGGGCACGAGCCCCCGATGGGGAGGATTGGGCTGGCTCTGAGGGCTTCTGGGTGTGGAAGCTCTCCTGCAGCCCTCCAATTGCCTCCTCTCCCCAGATGGCAGCCTGCGGCAAGTGCAGCCGGACTGATGGCCGAGTGGTGTGATGTGCCGAGTGTGGGCACTGAGGGCACTCCAAGCCAGGACTGCTTTGCAAGCGGGGCACCCCTGAGAACTGTCTGTCCGGGGTGGGGGTTGGGACCCTTTAAGCACAGCCCTCGGCTAGCCTGAGACTGCAGCTCCACGCTCTAAGTCCTCATCTGATGCCCTGCCGGTACTGCTTCTGGCCATCCTTAACCCCGGTTCAGGATCCACTTAATGTGGACATGCTAGTTCATATTAGCAAAATGCTAATTCAAACTAGTTTTTTAGTCTGGATGCGTTAGTTCGAATTAGCTTAGTTCGAATTAACTAATTTGAACTAAGTTAGTTCGAATTAACGTTGTAGTGTGACATACCCTTAGAGACTAACACAAAAATATGCATATAGAATCATGACCATTTGTGGGCAAAACCTACTCCCTCAGATGGGGTACGTCTATACTACAACGTTAATTCGAACTAACTTAGTTCGAATTAGTTAATTCGAACTAAGATAATTCGAACTAACGCATCTAGAACTAAAAACTAGTTCGAATTAGCGTTTTGCTAATTCGAACAGCGCGTCCACATTAAGTGGACCCTGAAGAAGGGTTAAGGATGGCCGGAAGCAGTGCCGGCAGGGCATCAGAGGAGGACTTAGAGCGTGGAGATGCTGTCTCAGGCTAGCCGAGGGCTGTGCTTAAAGGGTCCCAACCCCCACCCCGGACAGACAGTTCTCAGGGGTGCCCCGCTTGCAAAGCAGTCCTGGCTTGGTGTGCCCGGAGTGCCCACACTGGGCACATCACACCACTCGGCCATCAGCCCGGCTGCACTT